GGGTGGCTCAGTGGTAGAGTCTCTGCCTGCGGATCCAAAGGTCCCAGGTTCGAATCCCACCGTTGGCCGGGATTTTTTTATTTAATTTAATTATTTAAAATTAATTCTGATGCCTTGGTAGGATTCCCCACTCGACCATTCACTGTTGGGTACTAATTAACAGTGCTGTTCCTAAAGTGGCGCTAGGAAACAGTAACAAAGCCTACACAGAACACGAGGCTAATAACCGTAGCAGTTGATGCCGATGACACAAAAAAAAAAAAAAAAAAAAAAAAAAAAAAAAAATAATAATAATAATATAATAATAATAATAATAATAATAATAATTATAATAATAATAATAATAATAATAATAATAATAATAATAATAATAATAATAATAATAATAATAATAATAATAATAATAATAATAATAATAATAATAATAATAATAATAATAATAATAATAATAATAATAATAATAATAATAATAATAATAATAATAATAATAATATAATAATAATAATAATAATAATAATAATAATAATAATAATAATAATAATAATAATAATAATAATAATAATAATAATAATAATATAATAATAATAATAATAATAATAATAATAATAATAATAATAATAATAATAATAATAATAATAATAATAATAATAATAATAATAATAATAATAATAATAATATAATAATAATAATAATAATAATAATAATAATAATAATAATAATAATAATAATATAATATAATAATAATAATAATAATAAATAATAATAATAATAATAATAATAATAATAATAATAATAATAATAATAATAATAATAATAATAATAATAATAATAATAATAATAATAATAATAATAATAATAATAATAATAATAATAATAATAATAATAATAATAATAATAATAATAATAATAATAATAATAATAATAATAATAATAATAATATAATAATAATAATAATAATAATAATAATAATAATAATAATAATAATAATAATAATAATAATAATAATAATAATAATAATAATAATAATAATAATAATAATAATAATAATAATAATAATAATAATAATAATAATAATAATAATAATAATAATAATAATAATAATAATAATAATAATAATAATAATAATAATAATAATAATAATAATAATAATAATAATAATAATAATAATAATAATAATAATAATAATAATAATAATAATAATAATAATAATAATAATAATAATAATAATAATAATAATAATAATAATAATAATAATAATAATAATAATAATAATAATAATAATAATAATAATAATAATAATAATAATAATAATAATAATAATAATAATAATAATAATAATAATAATAATAATAATAATAATAATAATAATAATAATAATAATAATAATAATAATAATAATAATAATAATAATAATAATAATAATAATAATAATAATAATAATAATAATAATAATAATAATAATAATAATAATAATAATAATAATAATAATAATAATAATAATAATAATAATAATAATAATAATAATAATAATAATAATAATAATAATAATAATAATAATAATAATAATAATAATAATAATAATAATAATAATAATAATAATAATAATAATAATAATAATAATAATAATAATAATAATAATAATAATAATAATAATAATAATAATAATAATAATAATATAATAATAATAATAATAATAATAATAATAATAATAATAATAATAATAATAATAATAATAATAATAATAATAATAATAATAATAATAATAATAATAATAATAATAATAATAATAATAATAATAATAATAATAATAATAATAATATATAATAATAATAATAATAATAATAATAATAATAATAATAGATAGATAGATAGATAGATTTATTGACAATATATACATAAGTACATTTTATGTCATAGACTACAATATGGTATACCAAATATAAATACAAATTTAATGATAAAACAAAACATCTACAAGCTATATAAAATATGCATTCACACACATAAAATTTTTTGTAAAAATTCACGTCAATAAAATTTAAAATTTAAATTAAAATAAAGTTAAGATTGAAATTAAAATTAAGATTAAGATTAAAAATTAAATTAAAATTAAAATTTTTGGTCAACAATTCTAAAAGAGGTAGCTTGTAAATATTCATTCAAAGAATAGAAGCAATGCTCGACTAGAAAGTTTTTAGCTATCATATTAAAAGCCTTTAATGTCATATTCTTTATGGGATAATTTTTATGGTGATTCACGAAAGCGTTATAAATATAGTAATCAGGTTTATTGTTTTGAGTAATACATATTCTAGAAAAGCTATTGACTATATTTTCTTTAAATCTAGTGTTATGCTGATGTATGTCTGCATGAGTAGGAACTTGATAACGATTCAAGTGAATCCACGATAAGACCTGAAATATATATATGCACGGCAAAGGCAGAATTTTGTGTTTTTTGAATATAGGCTGACAGTGATCTAAGTAGTGTGCACCATCAATAATTCTTAGAGCTGCCTTCTGATAGCTAAACACTTTCTGTAAGGAGCTGGATTTGCCCCAGAGCATTATACCATAACTAATATTACTGTGGACTAGAGCATAGTATACTGACCTCATAGAATGCGGATCCAGGTTAGAATACAACTGTCTCATGACGTAAATTTGTGTTGCTAGTTTAGAGCAAAGGTTGGCTATATGTGAGGCCCAAGTGAGACACGTGTCCAGCGTAAAACCAAGTGTTTTTACAGGCTCCGATTTTTTTGCCAGTTTGTCTGAGCTAAATAAAATTCTGTTTGTTTTAAGCTGCATTTAGCATTAGCTTGTTAGAACTAAACCAGCGTTTTGCTAGTATTGTATCATCACTGGTAGATGTTAAATTACCCCTTGTGAGAAGAGTTGTATCGTCCGCAAATAAAATGCATTTACGTGGCTCAATAGATTTTGGTAGGTCGTTGATGTAGAGCAAAAAGAGAACTGGGCCCAATACAGAACCCTGTGGAACACCACTTACCACCGGAAGCATGCTAGAAACGTCATCATTGTATACCACGTATTGCATCCTATCAGTTAAATATGATCTAAAGATCTCAAGACTATTTCCCCTTATCCCGTAGAACTCTAATTTGTCAATCAAAAGCTCTATATTGACGCAGTCGAATGCCTTCGATAGGTCGCACATGGTTGCACATGAACTGTAACCCTGATCAAGATTATCAACCACGCATTCAATTAGAGAAATCATCGCTTTGACCGTCGATTTGCCCTTTCGAAATCCGTATTGTGAAGGTGATAGGATTTCTTTACCTTCAATGTAAGAGAGCAATTTATTTTTTAAAATTTTTTCAAATAGTTTTGAGATGACCGGGACGATAGCAATAGGCCGAAAGTTATCAGGACATTCAGTGCCGCCTTTTTTGTGCAATGGTATCAATCTAGATATTTTTAATTGTGACGGAAAATTACCCTCTTCTAAACATCTATTAAAAAGTAGTGTTAATGGTATTACCAGCGGTTCCATCGCGCATTTTATCATTTTGCTACTTAGGCCATAGTGGTCTAGGCTGGCTGAATTTTTCATCTCACGCACTGCCTTACGTACATCTTCTTGTAGTATAGGTGACATAAAAAATGAACCTGATGGCTTAGGTTGGAGATTTAAGTAATCAAGAGGATGTACGTCAGGAGTTTCTATGTGGATAGAAATGGTCTCTGCAATAGTAGCAAAAAAGTTATTGAATTCTGATGAAGAAAGAGATGAAGACGCGTTATTATTTTTATTGGAATTGGAATTCCGAGATGAATTTACCAGATGCCATATTGTTTTTGTTTTATTATCTGAAGATTCAATTTTCTCGGCGTAAGTACATCTCTTAGCAATTTTCAGGGCTGCACGGTATTGTTTACGTTTTTCCGTAAAGTCCAACCAATTTGTGTCCAGTCTATATTTATTAAAACGCAATTTTAGTTTAAAAACCTCGCTTCGCAATTTTTTTAGATCCGCGTTATACCATTTTATTTTCGACGAGCGCCGGCTAATGTTTCTAAGTGGAAAACATTCTTCTACAGCCTCTACAAGACGCGCCACGACTATATCAGTCATCTCGGATGTATTTAATAAATCGAAATTGTAACTATTCCAATCTATATCCTGCAGCGAGTTAGAAAACTTTATCAATGCCGAGTCGGTAACTGACCGTTTTAAGTATGTTTCGTCGTTCCGATCTTTCAGGTTAGACTCAACGAACACGAATGTTCCGAGATGATCAGCTATCATCGGGTCACATACACCGATATCGATACAGTTTAGTGTATTCGGATTTAAAATTATATTATCTAGTTTTGATTGCGATCGGGCTGTAATTCTAGTAGGGACATGTATCAAATGCTCTAGTCCGTACATTTTTAAACAATTTCTAAAGTTAACTATGTATTCAGCGTTGCAATCAAAGTCCAAATTAAAATCACCTACTATTAATACTTTCTTATATTTTTTATGGATAAAATCAATAAGACCAAAAAAACAATTCTTAAAGATTTCTAGATTTCCACTAGAAGATGACCTGTAAATACACAATATGAAAGTATTGGTTCCAGTCACTTCTGATCCGCAGAATTCGGCATGAATAGGCTGGGCATATTTTGAAATGTCCACACTCTTCAGTTTAATCCCGTTTCTGGCGTAGATAGCCACGCCCCCATGAACTATATCTTCACGGCAAAACGAAGTAGTAAGCTGATAATTATCGATATTAACGGTATTTAAATTATTTGTATTTAACCAGTGTTCTGATATGCAAAAAATGTTAAATGGATTATGAAATAGATAGATATTTAGTTCGTTGATCTTGTTGGTAAGACTTTGAACGTTCATGTGCAACACTGAATATGACTTACAAGAAAAACATTTTTTTACATTTTTATGAGAGTGTCCGGTCATGGAGTTTTTTAGGGGGAAAAAAATGATTAACTAATACTCCAGCAGGCCAAATATCACTGACCAGAATGGAACTTGTTTGTTGTGTAGGTACCGAAACTTTAAAAGACGAGTAATGCTCAGGACTTTTTGAGTTGAGTTTTTGAACAACCACCTCCGAAGCAAATTGAGAGAGATAGGTTTTTAGATTGATCACTGTAACATCTATATTAAAGTTGGTTACGTGGAAATGCCTCATTATTCTAGATTCAGCAGCTTTAAGAGGGCAATCTTCTAATCCATTATGAGTACCTATGAAAATGCTTCCTGAACGACTTGTTGGAGTAGATGAATTTGCGGCAGAAACATTATCCCGAAGGTTGATGGTTTCATCACAAAGCATTTTAGTTTGGGCAAGATGTACAGCACTTCTTACGTCCGGCAGTTTGATTTGAGGTTCAGCGTTGTTCACTGCAGGAAGGACAGACAAAGATTCTGTAGTGGTGTATGAAAACTGATTTTTACTATTGGTAGAAACAGACGAATTGTTAAATAGTGTGTTTACCTTCTTCATCAAGTCTATCTGATCAGTTAGCGATTTAATTGCAACATCCTGATATTTGATAGTTTTCTCCCTTTCAGTTAATAGCGATTCTAGATGTTTGACACTATTTCGCAAAATTTCTATTTCGGGCACGTTTTCAGTAAATATTATGTCACTATTGCAGCTAATAGGAGTTACAGTCTGCGTACCTAAGGCCGATCTATCACCTGTACCTTGACAGCATATACAATATTCGTTGTCAATAATTTTAACTGTTTTTAGTGATTTTAAACAGCTCTTATGTGAGAGAATACCGCATATTTTGCAACGGATTCCCGTGCCCACTGACTTTTTACACCTCACACAAGTGTTCAGAACATCCAAAGATGTGCCAGCCTTACTATCTGCCATTTTATTCCACTTAAAAATTTACCAAATTAATGTAAATTTCACGAATTTATAAAACCAGGCGAATTTACTGACAACCGAAGGCAATCGTTTTTTATTAAAATGTAAATAGTAGAAATGCTGGATTTAACTCACAATATATTTGTTGTTATTGGGTGAAAAAAAGCAGGAACAATCTTCAGATGATTTCACAGGCACAGTGACACTTAACGATCACTACAAAGTAATTTCAACAAATTAACTCTACAGAAAACTGCAGATTTACGAAATTAACAGCAGAGCAGAATAAAACACAACCACTCGCTATGACTGTAAACTGAATAATAATAATAATAATAATAATAATAATAATAATAATAATAATAATAATAATAATAATAATAATAATAATAATAATAATAATAATAATAATAATAATAATAATAATAATAATAATAATAATAATAATAATAATAATAATAATAATAATAATAATAATAATAATAATAATAATAATAATAATAATAATAATAATAATAATAATAATAATAATAATAATAATAATAATAATAATAATAATAATAATAATAATAATAATAATAATAATAATAATAATAATAATAATAATAATAATAATAATAATAATAATAATAATAATAATAATAATAATAATAATAATAATAATAATAATAATAATAATAATAATAATAATAATAATAATAATAATAATAATAATAATAATAATAATAATAATAATAATAATAATAATAATAATAATAATAATAATAATAATAATAATAATAATAATAATAATAATAATAATAATAATAATAATAATAATAATAATAATAATAATAATAATAATAATAATAATAATAATAATAATAATAATAATAATAATAATAATAATAATAATAATAATAATAATAATAATAATAATAATAATAATAATAATAATAATAATAATAATAATAATAATAATAATAATAATAATAATAATAATAATAATAATAATAATAATAATAATAATAATAATAATAATAATAATAATAATAATAATAATAATAATAATAATAATAATAATAATAATAATAATAATAATAATAATAATAATAATAATAATAATAATAATAATAATAATAATAATAATAATAATAATAATAATAATAATAATAATAATAATAATAATAATAATAATAATAATAATAATAATAATAATAATAATAATAATAATAATAATAATAATAATAATAATAATAATAATAATAATAATAATAATAATAATAATAATAATAATAATAATAATAATAATAATAATAATAATAATAATAATAATAATAATAATAATAATAATAATAATAATAATAATAATAATAATAATAATAATAATAATAATAATAATAATAATAATAATAATAATAATAATAATAATAATAATAATAATAATAATAATAATAATAATAATAATAATAATAATAATAATAATAATAATAATAATAATAATAATAATAATAATAATAATAATAATAATAATAATAATAATAATAATAATAATAATAATAATAATAATAATAATAATAATAATAATAATAATAATAATAATAATAATAATAATAATAATAATAATAATAATAATAATAATAATAATAATAATAATAATAATAATAATAATAATAATAATAATAATAATAATAATAATAATAATAATAATAATAATAATAATAATAATAATAATAATAATAATAATAATAATAATAATAATAATAATAATAATAATAATAATAATAATAATAATAATAATAATAATAATAATAATAATAATAATAATAATAATAATAATAATAATAATAATAATAATAATAATAATAATAATAATAATAATAATAATAATAATAATAATAATAATAATAATAATAATAATAATAATAATAATAATAATAATAATAATAATAATAATAATAATAATAATAATAATAATAATAATAATAATAATAATAATAATAATAATAATAATAATAATAATAATAATAATAATAATAATAATAATAATAATAATAATAATAATAATAATAATAATAATAATAATAATAATAATAATAATAATAATAATAATAATAATAATAATAATAATAATAATAATAATAATAATAATAATAATAATAATAATAATAATAATAATAATAATAATAATAATAATAATAATAATAATAATAATAATAATAATAATAATAATAATAATAATAATAATAATAATAATAATAATAATAATAATAATAATAATAATAATAATAATAATAATAATAATAATAATAATAATAATAATAATAATAATAATAATAATAATAATAATAATAATAATAATAATAATATATTTATTGGCCAATTTGAATTTTACAAATATATATATACAATCGAGTAATTTTAGCCTATAAATATCCAAAATAAGCCCACGAGGTTATAACCTGTGTATAGGCAGAACAAATATATATATAAAAAGAAGAAAGTACCATAACAAGTATTACTTAAAATTAAAAATTAAGATTAAGGATTATAAAGTATCTCTCGTAAGAAGTACCTATTAGAATAAGATATTAATAAGAATAATAATGATGATAGTAATAATAATATAATATAATATACAGCTAAGCTATTAAACAACTAATATTAGAAACAATATCATACTCACTGAGACATATTTCGCTAACGGGATAGATTTTTTTTTTTTTTTGTTACTACTTAATTTGCCAATCTATATTTAAATTTCTATTAGGTTATGGATTTCAATTCTATTTTTTCCACTGACAAATTTTTTCAATAGGTACCAAATGGTACCATTAATCATCTTTAAGTCGCCCCGCAGCGCCACGGCAAATAATAATAATAATAATAGCCATGAATTGGCCCGAGAAATATCAGCCTAGAACCGGGAAGAACGACACAGGAACACTTGGTAGGGAACTTATTAAAACTATAACCAAAGGTAGTATCTGAATACGTGGAAATTAGGAGAATACAATAGACCCAAAAGGCCGCAGTGTTCTGGGCCAAACCTAACCCTACCTGCTTGTATCCGACAAGGATGGGAATGCCTTCAGATGAAATGCTCCCAAGGTATAGCTTTCAAAAGCAATATAAAGTAAGTATACCAGACAGGGAAGCATGGACGGGAGGACTTCCTATTCATGCAGAATTCACCTGGTATGCAGACGGCCCCAAAACCCATAAATGTTCAGGAGTAGGTATATATAGTACCAAGCCAAAGACAAGAATCTCACTGAGCTTAGGTAAACATGCGACATTATTCCAGGCAGAAATAGCAGCAATACATCACTGCGCAAAAGAGGTATGAAGACAGAAGGTAAATGGAAAAACCATTGTCATATACTTAAACAGTCAAGTGACGTTAAAGGCACTCAGTTCCATGTACGTACACTCCAGGATTGTGTGGGACTGTTTGTTTGGAAGCCCTAACAGAGCTGGGTAGTCAAAACAGACTAATCTTATCCTGGGTGCCAGGCCACAGAGGACATAAGGGCAATAAAGAGGCTGATCCACTAGCCCGAGAAGGAGCCTCCAATGCTCTTATTGGCCCAGAACCCTTCTGTGGTGTAACAAAACCAACTATCAGAACATGCCGAAAACAGTGGATGTTTAAAAAATCTCAGAAGTAGTGGAAAACGCTCCAGGATTGAGACAGGCCAAAGAGTTCTTAAAAGGACTATAAACTTACCAAGTATCTTTTAAGCCTTAATAGGAAAAATACTAGAGTACTAGTAGGTCTATTAACAGGGCATTTTAGTCTTAACAAACATATGTATAATATCGGTCTGACAGAAGAGACCTTGTGCTGATTCTGTCAGAAAGAGGAGGAAACGGCAGTACACGTATTGTGCTACTGCTAAGGTCTAGAAAGACAAAGATTCCTTACACTTGGAAAAAAAACACCAAGAGCAACTAGCTATACCGGAGAACTACTTCCCAGTCTATGGAGTCTACTACAAAAGACCGAATTAGACAAGGTACTCTAAACAATAATTCAAGGATATCCACAATAGATCTGAAAAGGTCGAGGTGGGGAAAGCCACATGGCCCACAGTCCTAATTAAATCTAATCTAATCTAACCGACAAGAATAAAGATAAAGAGACTCAGATAAAGCCATGACATGACAGGGCCCTAACACATCTGAGGAGTTGCTGGGGCATTGTATAATGCATCCATCAAAAAACTGATGCAAAAAGAGTTTTAGTAATGGTGAAACATATATCCAGTATTAGGACAGACCAAAGAGTTCATAAAGGAACTGTCGGCCAAGTTATCAGAATATTTAATGGGTCAAAAACGAGAAATGAGAGTGACTTTTAAATATTATTTTTGTACAACTAGTATAAAGTGGGTTATTATTATTTAGTCAGCTTCATTGTACCATGTCATTGAAATAAAATACTTTAATGTGATCATGCTCTAACATCATTTACTAGTATTGCATTTCAATAAAATTAAAGAAACTCCCTACTTTGGCTAATCAATGGAGTTGATTTAATGATAATGAGTAGTGTTTGCATGTGGAAACAAGTGTCCAGTTGCATTTAAAATTACACAAATTCGGTTCTTTTGTATATAGCTTCAGAAGCCTCTCGCAGAAATTTTTAAATACAGTTTTTGTACAGTAAGAGATGAAAAATAATTACTCAAGCCTAATATTTTAAAACCACTCGTTAGTTTAATTTTAGTAAAAGAGCTTCCTTCAGTAATGTATTATTTATGTATAAAAGGTGAAAAGCTCATTATTAAATGGTTTCTATATGTATCCAAGTCCTCCACAGCTAATACTGTAAAATTTATCAAACTATCCCATAAAAACCACCCCTTACAGTAATTTTCAAACTGCTTATTTTCTCTGGCGTCCTTTGGTTCGTGGCAGCTTCGTCTGTGTGGAAGATATGCATCGAGGCAAGTGGCGTCGGAACTAAAAGAAGCGTCGGAACTAAGAAGCATCGGAACTAAGAAACGTCAGAACTAAGA